GACAGAAAGTGTTAGTATAATCTCAGCTGGTAATGACTTTCTGGAGGAGATGTAAATGGAGAGGAACAGACTGCTAATGCCAGTATTTGCCAAAGACATTAAAGGTTACATCACTCAAAAGCGTATGTCACAGCTGCACATCCATTTTGCTGATAAAAATATGGCAATTCATTGACTGAGTAGTCAGACTTCACTTCCCAAGGAGTGGAAGATTATACCATATGTTATACCAAATGTAATTTCCCCAGATTTGTAGAAAAGCTTCCTAACCACATGTAATGAGCTATTACTGGCTAGTCTGGAAGCAGAAGCCTAGCTGACCAAATTCAATCAGCTTTCTAGCATTTGTTAAAAAGCTGTATGATCAACATGCTTGTTATGCTAAAATATCTTCTGTTTCCTCCACAAATCTGCTGTCTATTAGATCATCTGATGACCTAACAGATTAAAATTATTATTTTCCTACTTGTTAGTGCTTTAGCCCACACACCTCGAGGAAAACAAGCTGGATTCTCTTTCAGCTCATGCATCAGCATCAATTTTGTTTAACTAAGTTCCAAATGAAGAATCTTTATTATTAGAGACAGAGCCAGGAAAGACACAGCTTGAATTTTAGATCCCAGATGGAGTCAGCAAAGTTGGCAGCCAGAAAAGCCATCTTTTTGCTTGAGATCTGAACACATTGGACGTGGAGTCATTGAGTGGCAATAATGACAAAGCCCCACGATGCCATTTGACACTTTCCAGCCCATCACTGGACAAAAACCCCCCACACTAAGTGCCACCACCTGCTAAATATAACCTATTTATACCATCCAGACCTGTTCTGCAGAGGATGCAACCCGCATAGTACTAGACATCCTCTCAAACCAAAGGGATATATTATCAGCTTCCACTATTTCACGCTTCAGGACATAATTTCTTCCTCTCATTTAGAATTACCTTACAGCACAAAAGCAGGGAAGAGTTGCTTAGCTCTTGAGAGGATGGCAGAAAAAGCCACGCAGTAGTTTAATTTCAGCCTGATTGCTTTCTAGCTGTTGTTGTTAGCCTGTGATATACTGATGAATGTTATTCAATTTTTAATTGTAAGACATTTCATCACAGAGCTCAAGCAAGGCTTGCAGGAAACAGTCTCTTCCAATCTTATCTGATGGTACTGAATTCTACTACAGCAAAAAAAATATCACAAACAGAGCCCTTGGCTACACTCTAGCAGCAAACACACAATATGTCCTTTCACAAAGGCTTAATACACAATCTCTCCCTCCCTTTGCAGTATCTCTATGTTGCAGCATATATGAATCACGGTTGTAATGTCAAAGAATTAAATCTTCAGCAAGAAGGCTGCCCAGAAGGCTAAAGCCTTTACAAAGTGCAGAGCTGCTCCATGGCAGTGTTCATTCACGTGAGAGTATTTAGATTCATAAAGATCACAAAACACATAGGCAGGAGGAGGTACCTGCTTCTGCTGAGGTACTCCAGCACAGGGAAGCTGGTCTTAGACACAGCACACTTACAGACACCATCATCCTGCTGTCATGGAAAGGTGCTGCCTGTTCAGTATAATTTCATTTTCTCAGCATGGCTGAATTGGTAACAGAATGCCTGTTTTAAAGAGAAGGCCAGCATAAATAACATCCTGACTGCTATGCATCACTTAATAATAATCTCATCAAGAGATCTGTAACAAAAATCAAGTCAGCTAGCATGGAAATTTCTGAAGGGATGAAAGGCAACACCTCAGCACGCACAGCAAAAGGAGCAGATTGCCTGTGGCCTTCCTACCGCTCCGCTGTATCATTGCTGATCAGCAGCGACCATCGATCACTGGTTGAGACAGAGCTTCACTATCTCACCAGTATGTAACTGCAACAGCTTCTGCCAGGCCTGCATTACTTCTGGACCTTCAAAGAACTAGTCTGTTAGTGGTTTAATATCAGATAAAACCTCCAGCAGGCAAGTTAGTGTGCTTTTGCAAGGGGAGGGGGGGAATAGGCTCTGCAGTCAGACTCCTGCTATCCCTCTTGCCTTCTCTAAATGCCTGGAACAAGGAGATTTAAAACCAACTTCATTACATGTGTTAGGAAGAGGTGGACTTTACAGATATGACAACAACGTGGACAGCACATGAAACTGCCCTCAAGACCACAAGTAAATTATTCCTTTTTCAGAGAAGTCTCTTCAACTTACTATTTGGGATTGACTGGTTTGAAAGACAACAGCCACCACGTGCTAACAACTCCCACACTTCCCAATCCATGGCTGCCAAGGGATGTCTCCTTTTTCTATGCAAGGCTCTCTGCAAACAAAACTTAACAGTGGTAAAAGTCACACGAGAGGCTATGCTGGCATCAAGAACATGATATGAACTGGAGAAGATCAGTTACTGACACAAAGGCCTAACACTGGGCAGGCACCACCCCTGCCTGTACAACCCATCAGAAAAAAGAAAGACATCCCCTGCCCCATGAAATTGCTGTCTGTGGATTACTTCGTTAATGGAGGCAGTGTTATCGAGGAGGGAGTGCAGTCAGGCAGTGCCAGGCTCTGCTCCAAGCTTCACTGCTTATCCTTTGGACAAATTACTTTGATTCTCTGTGCCTCAGTCACTGCACATCTAGGACAGCAACAAAACTTTGCCTGCTTTTTAAAGTCACTTCCTCTTGTCCCGCTCTGGATTTGAAAGATGCTACAGAACAGTAAAATAATAAAAGAAATGAACCACAACACTGGAAAACATTAGTACTGTACCTACATTTTATTTCTTTAAGATCATGTTAGCCAAAACTGTCACCACAAGAAATTCAAATTACTATAATAAAAATATAGTGCTATTTCCTCCATGAATAAACCTAATTTGCCCTCTGAATTCCTCCTATAAACACTTAAAGGGTTCATAAGGCCCGTGCAGGCCCTGCTAGCACCTCTGGGAAGAACATTTTGTAGAAGATCAACCTATCTCTCTGTTTTATAAATCCTCCACATCATGTTTCTATGCTCTGTTAGGGAAGGAGATGGAGGCAGCACGGAGACCAGCAGTTGGTGTTGGATTATGGAGCTTCAATGAACACAAGGTCACACTCTCCTGGGCAGTCCAGAAAGCAAGGCAAGTGAAAGAGGAGGGCATCACAGCAACACAACAGGAAAGAAAACAGCACCTCACAGGTGCAAAATATTTATAAACTGAAGTGCAAATCTCAAACATTTTTACAAGAGAAGTTACAAATCAAACAAGAACAATCAAAAAAAGGCAAACTTTTCAGGGACAGAAAGAACAACACAACAAGACAAGACAGAACCAAACCAGGTACATCAACAGCTGCTCTGGAGTTTACAGTAAACTAACCCAACTTTGTCAAATGCAGGGGGAGAGCAGCCACAAGCTGCTCTTAAAACCTTAATGCAACTTAAAACCTTAATGTGATTCAAAGGGAGCCCAGTCACTGTAGGAGATTTCATGGATCAAGCTTTAAAGAAAAGTTTTTTCCACTTCAAAGCACGTTTTCCAGTTGCCATCACTGAAATATTACATCCTCACATCCCACATGCAATCTTGCCTCTTGAACACCAATGCTGTTTGGTACCTACTCTGTGAGGAGGTTGTTTTCAGTTCAAAGGATAACACTGCTGCAAAAACACAGAAGTTACCTACACAAAACACATCACATTGAAATTGCACTTCAAAAACAGTTCCAAATGTTTCTAAAACACAGAAACTTCCATTTGCCTTATTAAAAAAAATGGATCATAAACCAACTTATACAAATACAAACCACTCCAAACCAGAAACAATTAAGAACAACTCTAAATGCAGAACAAGAACCAACACAGTCCCTCAGCAGCAAAATCAGACATTAGAAAAGGCTGTTGCAGGGCTACGTTGGAAGTGGTCAGGGATGCTCTGGAAATAGTGATGTTTGGCCAAGTTCTTGCTCACCCACTGCGTAAGGCTGTACCTTTGGGTAGGTTTCTTGTTGGACCTTAGGTAATATCTGCAAAGTTAAGTAAAAGAGTTAAAATAAACACAAGAGAAGCATATATATGAGAGGCTGGAACAGCATCTTCTCTGAAATAGCCTTCTCCATTCCTTGGGGCTTGTAGCTGGTATCTAATTTTCTTGTTATGAGGTTTGAAAAGGGAAACCACATTCTAAGAAGGCACCTTTATAAGGAACAAAATGAAAGTTTTAAAGATTGTCCTTTGTGCTTTATTACCTTCTTTGCAAAGCTCTTTCTCCCTGGCCCAGCAGAGAAGGCTGAAGGCTCAACTACACAGCAGTTTAAACAAGAGGCAAATTCTCCTCACGAAGTGCTGTACTCACATTAAATACTCTCATTTGTTACATCTAAGCACGTTCTGAAATAACAAGACAAAAAACCCCCACAAACTTTAAGCAGTCTTCTAGGAGCAAGATTAAAAAGCAAATTACATTTTAATAAGCTTGGTTATCTCCAGGCCTCAGAGTGTTGCAAAGCTTTTCCACACCATTGGAGGCTGCTTTGCCTCTTCTGCATTTTGAAAAAAGCCAACTCTGATATTGTCTTTTTTTTCTCTTATTTGTGCCCAGGCATCAGCATAACTCAGGAAATAGCATTTATAAACTGAGAGCCATCTGAACCATGAACAATCACAGGGGTCACTCCTGCAAAAACACTATCCAAACAGTTGGTTTGGAGAAGGAGGATCTGGCTGGCACAGGGTCATCACATCCATAACACTCAAGAGTTTCATTTCTACAGCAGTTGCTCAGTGAGAGCAGCCAGTGACCAAATAGGTCTCAAACCAGCAAAGCAACTTGTTCATGCCAACAGCTGGGGAGAGTTACCTGTATTACACTTAACATATCTTTATTATAACATTCAGAAAAGCTACACAGGCTGCACCCAAGAGGTCCTTCTGGGTCAGGGTTACCTGAGCACCAAACTTTTACTCATTACTTGAGCACTCCAGTACCACTGATCTTCCAGCCAGTGCCCTCTGTGTGCACAGAACAAGCCCCTCTATTCAAAAGAGCAGATCTGAAGGGCTGGCTTAGCAAATCCCTGGTAAGAGATGCTTCAGCAGAATGCAGGAATTGTTGCATTTGTATCACAAAATATAAACCAACCAGTATCTCCTGTAGGGTTTGCCCTCCTGCTTACTCAGAACAGGTCCTACAGCTCAGTGAAAGGCAACTTCCTTGACATACTGCCCTTGCTGAAGTCCTGTTTCAAGGTGCTCTGGGTACAGAACAGAGTGTGTCCTTGCCCAGTCAAAACTCAAAGGTTTTTCCATCCTGCCACTGCAGTCATGTGATTAATGTGAATCAGGGTTCTGCGTAACACTTCTTCCTTTCCAGGGAACACAGCGTCTCCTGAGCAAATCCAGGTGTCCTTCACAAAGTGCAGGATCAGCTTCTATTTACCCAAAGAAATAACTTCTTGTCAAAAAAGGATACTTCTAGAAAAGACTTCAGAAGTATTCTTGGGAAAAATTTCAAGCTAACAAAAGGCAAACTGTCACCCAACAATTCATGCTGTCTGCGAGAAGCTGATGCAAGATGTGTGTGTGACTAGAAGAAATCACAGCTTTTCACAAATTCTCAGCCTTCCCCTACAGAAGTCCCCCTCCCTTGCCATTCTGAGTCACAATCAAAATGTGTGACAAACAGGGGGGTCATTTCCTACTGCCAGGGGTGCACCCTTCACCCCTGCACCTGAGGGTCGTGCAAATCACCACCATGACTCATGAGTACTTCACACCAGTAAGAGGTTTGAGCTCCTCTACAAGAGGCAAAGTCCCAGGAGCAGAATAACCCCCTCAAGTGTTTGGGGAGAGCCATTATCACAGTGCTTCATGGAACTATTTAACCCAGGGTTCTGAGGATAAGAATCCTTGTGGCCCTTACTCATGAGGAAATGGGACAATGACACCCTAGATAAAGTGAGCTGCCATGGAACAGAACTTTTTGATTTCATTCTCCTCAGGCATAATCCATCCCTCATCCTTCCACAGCAGTTGAGACCAAATGACAGCTTTAGGATGAGATTTTCAAGCAAGTTCCACTCTCATTTAAAAACCAGGAGCTCTGATTATCTCAGCAGAAGTATCTGCAAACCAATGCCATGTGGTTTGCCACTAGAGAAGCCCCTGGACCAGTCGTGGAGACAAGGGGGCATCACCTCTGCTAAAGATAGCTCACCCCTCCCCTCACAGTAAACCTCCTTGCAATCTGCTTTATCAGTTCCTACCCCATCCCCTACTCCAAACCCCATCTCACATCTCTTGAAATTTAGGGTTTGTAGGTGGCTTTAAATTGCTTTGAAGTGAAATCTCCCTCCTAGGCTCAGCCAAAAATGTGATTCTTTCTTTATGTCAGCACAGCCCAAGTCCTGTACCTTCCCCACATGCTTTCCAAGTAAAACAAAATGAGGTTGGGCAGGTAAGAACCATTTCAAGATTAAAGTCTTTTCCTCAGCCAGCTCAGCACCAATCAACAGACCAGACTCTTCCAAGGCCCAGCCCGCCAGCACAGCATTTATTTGTATTTCACAGATTTGTTTCTCCATATGTTCCCTTATACTATTCTCCCTTTCCATCACCTTAAACCTGGTGTGTCTCTTTTTTAAAGATACTGATCTTTGTTATGATAGTAAGACCAGATGGTCTGTGACTCTTTGTAAGGTATTTCCCTCCCCCTCTCCCTTTGATTCAAAGAGACAAGAAAATAAATTTATCAGGTCTCTCCCAGGTTGTCAGAAGTCTGAGAAATTGCCTGAGCATCATAAACCTCTACTAAACAAACCAAACCTCAAGGAGAACTCCTGGTGGAGTCCTGCTAGCAGAGAAAGCAGAGGTTGGCGGTCAGACAGGAGCCAGGCTCAGCTTCCCAGGTACCGGGGGGAGAGCGATGCTGCTCCAAAATAACATGAGAATACTTGTGTGAGCAGCAGGTGGTGCAAGCACTATCCCATACACACAATTGCAACGTTAATGACCTGTGAAAGCAGATCTCCTGAAGTACAGATGTTTGGGTGGAAACCAAGAGAACGCTATGTTTAGAGAGGAAAATGCTTTTTCTGTTAAGTTTGTCCCTCCCCTGCTCATTGAAAAATAGGCCCATGAGCTACTTACATCACTGAGGACAGGGCTGGGCAGCAGAGTGCTGACATGCAGAGTCACAGCTATAAAACAAGGAGCCTCATTACTTCTGTGGACTGATACAGCACCGAGCAGAATCGCTGAGGAGGATCTCATCAAGAAGGGTATGATTCTATTTACCGTTGGATAAAGGGCAATAATGAAGTGTGAATGCTAACAAATGGTCAGCTGGCAGAAATCTTTTGTGGTCAATTATCAGTTTCAGCCACCCATTTCCAAGCAGATGTTCAAATCAGATCTCATTTCTACATCTGCTACAACACAGGCTCAGTGGCATTTAGATTCCTATGGGAAGCTGCAAATAAATTTAACTATTCAGATTTAATATTGTCTAGCAACTAGAGTGAAAGGAAGAACAACCAGAACCACAAATTATCTCCCAACTCACTTGAGACGGCTAAATGTGAAAAGTTTATTCTGAATACAAAAGGATTTCTTCCAATGCTGCAAATAAATTTATCTATTCAGATTGAATATCCTCTAGAAACCAGAATGAGAGGAAGAACAACCAGAAATACAGATTATCTCCTAATTCACTTGAGATGGCTAGATGGGAAAAGTTTATTCTGAATACAAAAGGATTTCTTCCACCTAGTCAGTGGTCAAAGATTGCACACATGGTAGCCAGTGCAACACCCTCACCCAACACAGATAAAGGAAAATTGTTTTTCTAGAGAACCTGCAAGTGCAAGATACAATGCAGATAAGTGAAAAGATAAAGCCTCTGCTGTAGCCAGCCTGTAATTCACCCCGACAACAGAAGAGCAAGAGACAGGATACAAGGAAGAGCAGAGAGATCATGTAGAAGAAGGGACAGCAAAGCCAAACGCTACCGTAAGACAAATGCCAGGAGATTTGCAATACAAACCAGAGCTAAAGATTTGTAACAGCAATATATTAGTTACTGCTTCCCGAAGGGAATTCCCTTGCTGGCTCTGAAACCTGCTAATTTTCCTTGAGGAATTTCTTGGGATCAATTCTGCATTTCTGCATCTCCTATGCAAATGATACACAAGGCATTGCTGCAGATGCAGGTGCACAGAAGTACCACACAGGGTCAAAGTCAGCCCACTGAGAAGGGGTTTTTTCTGTGACAACTGGGAAAGCCCACGCTGTCTGTCGGGCTGAATTCCAAGCCTACAGCTATTTGGAATAAGAGAGGTTTGCACTAATAAGAAAACCAAATTGTGTGCATCACAGACAAATGTTCTTTCCCAGCAAAATAGATCTCTTATTTCACTCACCAGCCTTGTTCATTTGGAGCTCCTGCCTGATTTTCTGTGACTCAGAACATACGTCTTGCATTTTTAATTTGAAAGGAAGAGAAAACAGGCCATTTTAGCTTTCCTTGCATAGTCCCCTCTGCATTACTTATGCTGTATTCATACACTGGAAAGCAGCCCTGTGGCTATGCAGCTGTTCCTGCTGCCCAGATAAGTGCAGGCTCCATGCAACGAGCCACAAAACTGTCAGCTTCTTCTAACTCTCAAGAAATGACAATTATTGCACCCATGAACTCTCAGAACAACCACAGGAGGAAGCCATCTCTGGAAGCTACCAGAACACTCTTTGCCCTTCAGAACATCTCATTCTACCCAGACACTACTATGTCAGATACTGCTCTTCAGCTGATCTCCATACCTGCTCTTTACAGACACCTTCCTTTAAACCTCCGCAGCTGATACCTCTTGGATGACACCGTTGAGAGGAGCAAAGCATAGAAAGTGTCAATAGTAAATCAAAATCTCAGCACTTACACTAAATATTCCCTGAGTCTGGGTTCATAGTTGTGACTGACAAGAAGTTACATCCCAACACAAGCCAGAGCTCAGCTTTGCTCTTCCCAGGTAACATGGATCTGTTTTGGGAGCACCTCTGATCTACCACAGTAAGGCCCCCAGATAATGTTTCCCAGGTATCTCAAACTACAAAACTCAACTGAACCAGACCTGGAACAAGATAATGGCTCTAAACTGAAAGAGGGGAGGTTTGGATGAGATATTAGGAAGAAGTTCTTCACTGTAAGGGTGGTCAGACACTGGAACAGGTTGCCCAGAGAAGCTGTGGCTGCTCCTCCCTGGAAGTGTTCTCGGCCAGGCTGCATGAGGCTTTGAGCAACCTGGTCTAGTGGAAGGTGTCCCTGCTGATGGCAGGGGGGTTGGGACTGGATGAGCTTTAAGGTCCCTTCCAACCCAAACCAATCTGGGATTCTGTGATTCTAAGACTGATTGCTGTGTGGGAACTCTGTGCATAGTGCTCACAAGTGTAGCAGGCACTTTTTATTTCCCTCTGAAAAACAAGTATATTCAAAACACCAAAGAATACAAGTTCAGTGAGCCAGGTCTCCTGCCAGGATGTATCCTCCACTCCACCCTCCCCACCAGTACAGCCTCACCCCATCCCATCCCATCCCATCCCATCCCATCCCATCCTGGGGTTACTTGGTGTAGGAGCTACTGTTATCTTCATATGGATGTGCACACTCTGGATATAAATGTTTCTTTTGCTCAAGCTCCACTTCCAAAATGCCTATCTGTTGATTCAGTCTTTAAAATAAAAGACAGCATTAATTTATTAATTTTTTTTTTAAACAATTTGTCAAATTAGGTTGCAGAAGTCAGAGAGGACAAAGTGTCCTACAGAACCAGTATAGGCAGGAACTTCTTGTAGCACTACTCTACAGTTGCAAAAATAAAAGTATTTATTTGAATAAAGCTGCAAAGAAAACACACTGAGAGCAAAGCAGGAGAGAGTGTCAGGGGAGTGAACCAGTCACTGTCCTGCCCAACAAGCCATGAACCTGCAGCGAGCCCTCAAAAGCAGCAGATTTTTCATGTTCCTCAAGGCCACACTGGGAACAGCAACACACAGAACATCTGAGTGCAGCGGATCTGCAGCAGCCACAGGGAAGAACAACCAAACTGACAGTTCCAGACCCAGGAGCATCAGAAAGCAGAAGAAAACCATCCCCACACGCAGCTCCTGGTGCTGCTCTGCTGCTGCCATCTGCTGGAAACCACTCCAAGAAGAGTGGCCACCAAGCCAAGCCAGCACAAACATCTCTTCTGCCCTGCAGACCACTGCCCAGCACTGCCTCAGCAACCCCTTTTCCCATTTGGACCAGCCCTATATTCTTCTCCCTCTTTTGGTATCTTACAGGGTAAAATATAAAGTACTTTCCAACTATTTTGGTGCATCTTAAGAAAAAAAAGAAATAAATTAAGGGAAAACCAGCAGCACCCAGCCAATCAACCTGGTGTGGGAAACTGCTGGGACATTTTTCAGAGTGCAGAGGTATTTGGAGGCACCTAAGAAAGGCACCTAAGAAATTACCTTTCCTCCTCCTGTGGCACAGAAATAACTTTGCCAGGCTTCTTCCCACTGGTTGTCTCTTCCTGCACAATCTGGCCTACAGCTGTATCACTTAACTGGAAAGATAAGGAAAAAAGGGGATTAACATCTAATAGAACATCACTCCATGTAAATCTTGCTTCTATAGGTATATTAAAAAAAAAAAAATCACCCTTTCCTCCACTTGAAAAACCTTCCCTGTGTAAAAATACACACTGTGTGCACATGGACATTACTACAAGTACAAATCAACAGGAATGGAATTAAGAACATTGTAGGTACAAGAATTAAGATGTGTGTTTACTGTAATGCTGTTTGATGGTTGTTCTGAAGATTCCTGCCCTCCATCGCCCGCTGCAAAGTTTAATTTCCTGGAAAAACAACTCTTTGTTGCTTTGGAAAGTCCTTGGTTTCTGGACCTAGAAGGTGGCACAGGACATCTCGGCAACACAGGGGTTGAATTCTCATCAGCTGTTCTCTGGCCACAGGCACGGTCACAAGAGGGGATGGATCTTTCCACGTGCTCACCACAGCAGTGAGACACATCTCTGCTCGTAACAGGAGTCTTTCCCAGGCAACCCACACCCAGGCTTTGCTGGCCATCAGACATCAGCTCCTCTGAGGATTCTTCAAGAACACAGCTGCTAGCAGTTTGATCACATTCTAGGTAATTATTTCTGATGGCTTCTGAAGCTTCTCTTTCAGCTCTCTCCAAACAATTGTCCTCCAGAGGCTGATCTACATATTCAGGATCAATTGGACTAAGGCTCAGAAGCTCCTGAATGTCAAGGTCAAACAACATGCAAGTTATTTGGGCCGACTGCAGATGGTTCTCCTCCAAACAAGCACTAGGATAACATTCTGAATGGAGTGAGGAACACTCCCTGGACAGAGGTACATTTGGTTGCTCTGTGATCTTTGAGGCTACATTTGAATCTTCACTGCTGACTGATGCCCCAGCACAGCTGCTGCTCTCGTCCTTCTCGCTCTCTCCGTTTACATTCTGGCTCAGAGTGCTTTTTCTAGTGAGGTTCCACTCAGATTCCACGCAATCATCTGCCAAGATTTCCTGGATCTCTTCCTCGGTGTAATTGAAAGGAGAATTCCCTCCTTCACTGTCTGACAGTTCCAACAAGGAGTCATCTGGCTCGCTATCATCAAAACATCTGGTTGTATCTAGAGAAATGGCTACATCATCGTATTTTGATGCAGAAGAACTGTCAACAAGGTCTTCATGGCCAGGATCATCCAGAAAATGAGAAGATCCTTGAAAGCAGGCAGAACCTGGGGAACAGAGCAGCAGTTTCTCTGATGGATCTGGAGTGCTGTAGTGATGACTCAACACACAAGCTTTCTTAGCTGACTGCAAGGCCTGAACCTGCTCTGTGGAATCCAACAGCCTTTTGGCCCTGGGAACTGTATTATGAACAGTAGGTTTAAATTCATGACAAAGACAAAGCTCAGAGGCATGAGGAGAATGGTCATCCATGTCACTGTCAGTTCCTGTATCTCAGTGACCCTGTGCCTTCTGCTGACAGATCTAGAAGCCTGTTCTGAAGTTCATCTGGTCCTGGTGTGCTTTCATCAGCCTTTTCAGAAAAGAAATCAGCAAGAGTCAGTTCCAACCTGCCAGCAAAAGACAGTCTTAAGTAAAAGAAACTCGGATGGTTTTCCAAAGATGCAGCAATATAACGGGGAAGGCAAAAATACAAACTGAGGAGCAGCAGACACAACAATTTTAACTCCCTGGTCTCCATTACCTCTATTCCTGACCATTTTAGGTCTTAACAAACATAAAATAACAACCAGTCCCTCGTGTTCCCCAGGTGTTCTCACACACAAGGCTGTTTTATCAAGCAGGACTAATAAAAGCCCCAATCATCACCACAGGCTGTACCATCTCCTCCAAAGCTGCTGTAAATCAGCTGCTCTAACACCAGGGCTCACAAATTACATTCTTTACAACCTTAAGTACACAGCACACTCGAGGTAATAAATAAAGTCTCACAAACCCTCACAGAGTCTCAACCTCCACCTCCTCTGTCCTTCAAAGATACTAAACAAATAAAAAGTCTTTTTTTTTTGGGGGTGGGGAGGGGTTAGGAAAAACTGAGCAACAGTGGAATAACTCTGCCAGGGAGCTAAGAGGACATTCAGCAGGGTATTAGTCACTAACACACTCATACAAAGCACATTCTAATGAAAGATGAGAAGATAAAAAGATCCTTCCTGTAAAATTCAATAGTTTAAAGGTATTCACAAACAAAACCTGTTTTCCTCTTGGTGAGGACTCACACTAACACCCATCTAGTGACTTGAAAGAGCTGCATTTGACTCTCACCCAGCAGGAGAACCTGGGCTAAGGAAAAGGTATTTCCTGTCCTCTTTGACCGACAGATTTCAAGGAATATCTTTTGTCTTTCCACTGGTTTGACTACTTATTGCTGACAAAAAAAAAGGGGGGGGATTACCTACTCCGGGAATAAAACCCAGGCAGTTCTGCTGCTTCCTCTGGTTATTCTGTCCAAATAATGAAAAGAAGCACTTTCAGAATAATGCTGGAACCACAGAGAATGAAGAAAATATCTCAGGAAACAGCTACATCCATACAAACCCTACACAGAACAGAGTCATGGGCAGTCCTCACTAGATAGCACTTGCCTGGAGTTCTGCAATTTAGCTCCAAGTGCTTCAAAGAGAAACAAAAGGCAAAGAAAAACAAATTAAATGTGGATTTAGTCCTACAGAGTGTAGCAGTCTCATAATCTAGCTCCTAACTAGTAAGGACTTGAAAGAAAACCAAACAGTTTATAAGCCCTTTTACTGGCACCAGCTTACAAAAAGTACATTGGAGGTGTTCACACGCTCAGGTTGCAGACAAGGAAATGGTTTCTTTGTTGTGACCTTCCCAGTTCACCTCACTGTCACCTGCACTGGGTCTGGACTTTCAGCCCCACATCAATTGCCTCTGGGAACTATGGAACTGATGATGCACAAGCCCAGACAGACCCTGCTGCTGTTCCCCACAGAAATGTGTTGGATTCAGGGGCTGCTGGAGGATTTACACCAGGGTGATACTCTGGGTAACAATTTAAATGGCTCTTCAAAGTGACACAAGCCAAGGCTGCCCGCTGCCAGCCTCTCCTCCTGCCCCTCATACCAGCACAGTCAGACCACGCTGGAGTCAGCTCACCCCCAGATGCAAGAGCAGCAGCAGTGGAGCTGCGGTGGGCGAGTGGAAGGTGGGCTCTTGGGAAGGTTACACACCTTTACGTGGGTTCCTACCACAGCTTCAGTAAATAGTGAGATCAAAAGACAAAGCTACTGAGAAACACAGTTCTGCCAAAGCTCAGTGGACCTGCCCCTGGGAACATCCCAGGTCAGGTTGGATGAGGCTCTGAGCAACCTGCTCTGATTGAAAATGTCCCTGTCACTGCAGGGGGTTGGGCTGGGTGACCTTGAAAGGTCCCTTCAACCCAAACCAGTCTGTGATTCATTCTACTCTGCCTAGAGGGGATCTGCTCCCTCAACGGACAGCGGGGAGCAGGGGCCACCCAAAGCCACGGGCCACAGGGTGACAGCCCCGCAGGCCGCTCATTTCCCACCATGTGCGATATTTCCTCTGAAAAAGCC